CTTTTTTTTTTTTTTTTGGAGACGGAATTTCACCTCTTGTCATCCAGGCTGGAGAGCAGGGTTTGGATCTTGGGTCACTTGCAACCCCGCCTTCGGGTTTAAGTGATTCTCCTGCCTTAGCCTCCCTAGTAGGCTGGGATTACATGCTTGTGCCACCACGCCAGCTAATTTTTGTATTATTAGTAGAGTCGGGGTTTCCACATGTTGCCAGGCTGGGTCTCAAACTTCCAACCTCAGGGTGATCCACCCGCCCTCAGCTCCCAAGTGCTGGGATTACAGGTGTGAAGCCACTGTGCCTGGCACAGAAAACCTTTTTTTTTTTTTGAGGATATGTCCTTTGCTCTGTCACCCAGAGGCACGGAAATTGCAAAAAAAAAAAAAAAAGAGTATGGCCTCTACTTTGTGACCTGGCAAACCGTATCACCTCCCTCAGTTCATTCATCAGCAAATTGGGCAGAAAACATCCCTTGCCTCAGGAGCTAATATGCACAGGGTGGTGGATGCTGACTTACTGCCCACCAGTCCCACAGAGGAGGGCACTATCATGTGTCTCATTTTACAAATGGGGAAACTGGGCCCCAGAGAGGTTGAGTTTCTCACTCAAGGTCACACAGCCAGGAAGCAGCACAGTGTGAATTTGAACCCAGCAACCTGGCCCCAAGCCCGAGCTCTCAGCCACCGGCCTGACCACCTTAGCGACTGGTAGAGATGCTCCTCCACAGTCACTTCTCACGAGATGACAGTCATGCTCAGAGTCGGCTGATCTCTAAGGGCAGTCTCATAACTGCTCTGCACTGGGCCTCTCAAGGTGTACCTGACATCTATTGAGCACCTACTGTGTGTCAGAGCCTGAGCTTGGCCGGGCACCGTGGCTCATGCCTGTAATCCTAGCACTTTGGGAGGCTAAGGCAGGCAGATAACTTGAGGCCAGGAGTTTGAGACCAGCCTGGCCAACATGGCGAAACCTTGTGTCTACTAAAGATTTAAAAAAAAACATATATATACACACACATATATATATATACACACACATACAAAAAATTAGCTGGGCATGGTGGCACATGCCTATAATTCCAGCTGCTCAGGAGGCGAGGTTGCAGTAAGCTGAGATTGTGCCACTGCACTACAGCCTGAGCAACAGAGTGAGATTCCATTAAAAAAAATTAGCTGGGCATGGTGGCAGGCACCTGTAATCCCAGCTACTTGGGAGGCTGAGGCAGGAGAATCACTTGAACCCCGGAGGCAGAGGTTGCAGTGGGCCGAGATCATGCCATTGCACTCCAGCTTGGGTGATAGAGCGAGATTCTCTCAAAAACTATATAAATAAAGGCCGGGTGGCTCATGCCTGTAATCCCAGCACTTTGGGAGGCTGAGGCAGGCAGATCACGAGGTCTGGAGATGGAGAACATCCTGGCCAACATGGTGAAACCCCGTCTCTACTAAAAATACAAACATTAGCTGGGCATGATGGCGGGGCACCTGTAGTCCCAGCTACTCAGGAGGCTGAGGCAAGATAATTGCTTGAACCTGGGAGGCGGAGGTTTCAGTGAGCCAAGATCGCACCACCACACTTCAGCCTAGCAACAAAGTGAGACTCCATCTCAAAAAAAAAAAAAAAAATTAGCCAGGGGGGGTGGCATGCACCTGTAGTCTCAGCTACTTGGGAGGCTGAGGCAAGAGAATCGCTTGAACCCGGGAGGCAGAGGTTGCAGTGAGCTGAGATCATACCACTGCACTCCAGCCTGGGTGACAAAGCAGGACTCCATCTCAAAAAAAAAAAAAAAAGACTGAGCTTAATGTATGTCCACATTAATGCATAATGCATCTCCTTCATCCTCATGCTAATCACCCACTGGACAGAAGTAGAAACTGAGGCACGGAGAAGACACAGATCTCACCCAAAGTCACACCAAGGATAGAAAAGTCAGATTCAAATCTGTGTGATCCTGTACCAAAACCTGGGGCCTTAACTAAGATACCATACTCAGGCCTCACACCTCCTATCCCCACCTGACCCCTCACCTCGTGGGTACTATTCCGCTTAGTACCCAAGGTCTTGACCAGAACCTGGCTGGGCTCCGTCCCCAGCTGCCGCAGGTCCCACAAGTTGACAGTGCGATCTCGGGAGCCCGACAGACAGAGTGACCCACCCTGGAAAGGGAGCAAGGTGATGTTGTCAGGGCCACCCTGGCCCACCCCTGCCTGGCCCCCCACAGACCCCGTCTCACCTGGAGCAGCAGCACTGAGTCAACGGCAGCCAGGTGCCCATCGGCCAAGCAGAAGTATTCGGCCCGGCGCCCATCCTCTGCCCAGCGGGACAGGTGCTCCTCCAGCGCAATGCAGGCTGCCGGCCAGTCAAAGTGCTTCTCTGTGGGTTACCACGAGTAGGGTGCCCGGTGGGCAGGGACCCTAGCACCCACACCAGCTGGCCAAGCCCAACCCTGGCTTCCAGGGAACCCACCCTACACCAGACTTGGACAGAACCCCATGGAGATCCCTACTCCCGCCCCAAGCCAACCCAGGCTCAGGTCTTGGGGCCAACTGCCTGCCCATTTCCCAGGCAGGTCTAGGACTACTACTCACTCCAATTTCCAGAAATTGGGAACTGGGGTCTCAGAACTACCTCTCCAGGCCCCATCCCCCAACCCAAACTCAGGGGATAGCGGTCTCAGGATGTTGAGGTCTGACCTCAGGCTCAGCATAGAAACTGGGGCCTCATGACTAACCCTTCCTGCCTCAGCCATCTGAACCGGACCAAGGGGGCTGTTCCTCAAAGAGTATCTGGAAACTAGGGAGCCTTGTCAATATGCAGAATGCAAGCCCCAGATGCAGATTCCGTGGTATGGACAGGGTCCAAGCATCTATGTGTATTAAGCTGTTTGGGAGAGTCTGACCTAGGGGGTTGAATGGCAACACCTTGAGAATCACTGATCCCGGAGTGATCCTGATTCCTCTCTAAGGTTGAGTGTGTGATTACCTTGACCTGGAAGCAGAATCAAAGCTTCCAGGTTAAGGGTATCAAACACCCAAGCTGTAATACATCTTGGCTTAAGGGCCTGAGGATCCAGCTGTATCAGGATCAACAATATCGATTCAAAGGTCACAAGCTGTTCTCCCTCAGGAACCAATCAACTCAGGGCCAAGAGCCACTGTCTCACCCCTAACTGGGTCAAGGCTCTAGGGCTCAGAAGTTTTGACATCAACAGGTGCTGTCTCAGCTTCTAAGCTGGACTCAGAACCTGAGGATCCTTAGGCTCACTTTGAGCCCTAGCATAAACTCCAGAGCCTAAGGCTTCAAGTCCCTGTGTTAATCCCCAGTCAGGAGTCAGGGGCTTAGTACCACAAGACCCCAAGCCTGAGGATATTTGGATCCTGAGTCGTCCAGGGACCACAGTCTCAGGAAGCCAAGTGCCTGACTGCCTCGTGGTCCACCCAGAGGTCCTCAGGGGCTTCGGCACAACCAATAACGACCTCAGCCTCCAGCCTGAGCCAGGACAGCCACGAAGCCTGCTCCAGAGGCTGTGTCCAGAACACCCCATGCACCTCTTCCCCGCCCCAAGCCTGACCTGGGCGGGAGCCCCCAGTCCCTGGGTGCGCGCACCTTCCACCACTGGGTAGGGCGCGCGTACGCGGCGTAGCGCGCGTAGCCTCCAGGTGACACGGTCATACACGAGATCGCGCAGCGCGTGGCACACGCGCGACAGGACGTGAAGCACGAGGCGGGCGTCCAGGTAGGAGCAGATCTCGAGCAGCAGCTCCGGGGGAAGGCTCAGAAGGCCTGGCTCACTTACGGCCGAAACCTTGGACGCGGCCCGAGGCTCCGAAGCGCTCGGGGACGCGGCGGGCGTGGATAGCTGCGAGGGACGCGGGAACGCCAGCCCGGATTTTGGCGGACTGAGAACGCGGGCCACGTAGGCCTCGGCCTGCGCGTCTGGGTCTGTCTCTGACTCTGGGTCCGAGTCATCGTCCCAGGAGCGGGAATCATGGCACTGCCCTAGGGGAAGCTCCATGGCGACCGGGTGGGCGCTGCCGGTCTCGCGTCTTGTCTCCTAGGCAGCGCGAGGGCACTTCCGGCGCTGTCTGGTGACGTTTCCGCGCCCACCGGAAGCGAGCGAGCGAAGTGAGACACTGGCTTAGTACGGAACACCGGCTGCTTACAGGATCTTCTGCAACTGCGTTGGCCTTAGGCTGGAAAATACAGGTTCCTGTTTCTGCGCTTTTTTTTTTTTTTTTTGAGATGGAGTCTTTGCTCTGTCACCCAGGCTGGAGTGCAGTGGCGCGATCTAGGCTCACTACAAGCTCCGCCTCCTGGGTTCACGCCATTCTCCTGCCTCAGCCTCCCGAGTAGCTGGGACTACAGGCGCCCGCTACCACGCCCGGCTAATTTTTTTGTATTTTTAGTAGAGACGGGGTTTCACCGTGTTAGCCAGGATGGTCTTGATCTCCTGACCTTGTGATCCGCCCGTCTCGGCCTCCCAAAGTGCTGGGATTACAGGCTTGAGGCACCGCGCCCGGCCGTTTCTGCGCTTTTTAAACTAGCATGTCTTGTCGTGCCGATACGGAGAGCCAGCCAACACTAGCTAAAAACGAAACTCAAGCCAGGCGGGGTGGCGCGCGCCTGTAGTTCCAGCTACTCAGGAAGGTGAGGGGCTAGGATCCCTTGAGTCCCAGGAGACTGCAGTGAGCCATGATTGCGCCACTGTACTCCAGCCTGCGCAACATAGTGAGACCCTGTCTCTTTAAATGAGACATAAATACTGCTCTGTAAAAAATAAACACTGCTTTATTGAAGGCATCTGTTATATGTGACACTGAGCTCAGAAACCCAAAGGCCCCTTTCCAAGTTTAAGGAGTAGCGATTGGAACTCTTGCCTCTTTTCCCACAGCCAGAAATATGCAGTTACACTGCAGAGGCCTCAGTGAAGTGACTTTTTTTTTTTCTTCAGAACTACCTCTCCAGACCCCATTCCTCAACCCAACCTTGGAGGACAGCAGTGCAGTCCTCCAAGTGGAGTGCTTGGCTCATTGCAACCTCCGCCTCCTGGGCGCAAGTGATCCTCTGCCTCGGCCCCCCAAGTAGCTGGGTCTACGGGAGCGCACCACCACACCCGGCTAATCTTTGTATACTTTTGTAAAGACAGGGTTTCACTACGTTGTCCAGGCTGGTCTCGAACTCCAGAGCTCAAGTCATCCGCCCCCTACTCGGTCTCCCAAAGTACCAGGATTACAGGCGTGAAGGACTGCGCCTAGTGGAAAGTTACCTTGTGTCTTTTTTTGAGAGCGGAGTCTCACTCTGTCGCACAGGCCAGGGAGTGCAGTGGCGGCGATCTTGGCCTCACCAGACCTCAGCTGCAACGCGGGTTCAAGCGATTCTACCGCCCCTCAGCCTGCCCGAGTAGTGGACGTACAGGGTGTGTGCCACAACGTGGGAACTCAATCGTTTACGCCTTTTTTTTTCATTCTTCCTTTTGTGGAGAACGTGGGCTCGCTATAGTTGCCCAGGGTCTCGACAAACGCCTGGGCAAGCGTGTCCTCCACTTCTGCCTTCCCTGAGAGCTGGGGATTACACGGCGTGAGCCAGCCACACCGGCCGGAACTAATTCTTTGGCATTATTTAAGCCAGGACAGTATTAGCCAGGATGGTCTCAATTTCCTGACCTCGTGATCCGCCGCCACCTCGAGTCTTGCAAAGTGGGAGATTACAGGCCTGAGCCACTGCGCCCGGCAAAGGTTACTTTCAACCAGTAACATCGCACTTTTTCTTTTTTTTTTTTTTTTTTTGAGACAAAGTCTCACACTGTCGCTGTGGCTGGTGTGCAGTGGAACGATCTCGGCTGGCTGCAACCCCGCCTCCCCAGTTCAAGGGATTCTCCTGCCTCAGCCTCCCAAGTACCTGGGATTACAGGTGCCTGCCACCACACCCAGCTAATTTTTGTGTTTTTTAGTAGAGACGGGGTTTCACCATGTTGGCCAGGCTGGTCTCCAACTCCTGACCTCGTGATCCGCCCGCCTTGGCCTCCCGAAGTGCTGGGATTACAGGCGTGAGCCACCGTGCCCAGCCTAACATCACACTTGTTAAAACAGCTGACCACACTTTTTAAAACGGCATGTTGGCTGGGCGCGGTGGCTCATGACTGTAATCCCACCATTTCGAGAGGCCAAGGTGGGTGAATCACCTGAGGTCAGGAGGTCAAGACCATCCTGGCCAACATGGTGAAACCCCATCTCTACTAAAATTACAAAGAATTGGCCGGGCGTGGTGGCGGGCACCAATCCACATAGATCATCTCAGCAGTCCTTGCTGTTTCCTCTGCTTGACACTCTTCTCTACGTGGCTCTGTTCAAACATCATCTCAGTGTGGCCTTTCCAGGTCACCCTACATAAGATTTTAACTGTTCCCCCCATCATTCTCTGCCTTTCTGTTTTTCTCTATAGGACTTAGCACAGTTCCACTTCTTTTTTTTTTTTTTTTTTGAGACGGAGTCTCCCTCTGTTGCCCAGGCTGAAGTGCAGTGGTGAGATCTCCGCTCACTGCAAGCTCCGCCTCCCGGGTTCACGCCATTCTCCTGCCCCTCAGCCTCCGGAATAGCTGGGACTACAGGCGCCCGCCACCACGCCCGGCTAATTTTTTTGTATTTTTTAGTAGAGACGGAGTTTCACTGTGTTAGCCAGGATCGTCTCGATCTCCCGACCTCGTGATCTGCCCGCCTCGGCCTCCCAAAGTGCTGGGATTACAGGTGTGCGCCACCGCGTCCGGCCAGTTCCACTTTTTATAGTCTGTTCTCTCACTAGAATGCAGGCCTTATTTGTTGAATATTGGATGTGTGTCAGTATTTTTTAATTTTCTCACGTTGATCTTTGGGCCACACCAAGGTTGCAGTAAGATTTTATTCTGGCTGGGGGTGGTGGCCCACATCTGTAATCCCAGCACTTTGGGAGGCTAAAGCAGGTGGGTAGCTTGAGCCCGGGAGTTCAAGACCAGCCTTGGCAACACAGCGAAAACCACCTCTACAAAAAATACAAAGATTAGCCAGCATAGTGGCATGCGCCTGTGGTCCCAGCTACTTGGGTGGCTGAGGTGGGAGGATTGCTTGAGCCACTGCACTCCAGCCTGGGTGACAGAGCAAGACCCGGTCTCAAAAAAAATATTTTATTCTGAAGATTGTGGTTTCTTCCCCCCCACAGCTGGAACTACTTCTCATTTTCCTGAGTAATTGTAACTAATATTAATAAATTTCCCTCAGGCCTGGGGCTGGGCTGAGCCTTCCACGAAAACCTTGACCCAGGGTTAGCTGATGATAAGAGTGCGGCAAGGCCTCAGCCCTTACCACTCCGTTTAGAGTACGGCAGAGCGGCGTCTTGAACCTGGGCTGTGATACTAATGGCTCACCCTTAGTGAGTTGAAGTCCCAGAGAATGAGGCGCACATTTCATATATGTTACGAATTTAATCTTCCATCTTTTACATTCATCTATCTTCCCACTCTCAAGTATCCCGGGTGCCCCCCACATTTCTTTACTACCAAAGCCAAGGACACACGAAGCCACAGACTAAGGAGTTCACAAGAAACTGATCTTTACTCAACAAAGTTCTACACAAGTGGAATCTCACGCCACCTCGGCGCCAATCCCCAGCACAGCACAGTAACAAATGGACAGACCCGGGAGCCCGCAGGGGGAAGAGGGTGAAGAGGGAAAGAGGGACTGTGGCTCAAGGCCAGTCTGGGTCCACAGCCCTGGTTAGGGGAGAAGGTTGAGAAGCTGAAACTTCATTGTGCAAAAAATAACCAAAAATAAATTAAAAAATTAAATAGTTTTTTTTTTTTAAAAAAAAAAAAAAAAGGAAAACGAGAAGAACCAGGCTCCCCTTCCCTGAAGGTGTTTGTATCCCCGCATCTTGAGTAGTGAGGGGTTACCAATCCCATCAGACAGCCAATCCATCCACACACCCCAAGACCCAGCAGAGGATGCTCCAAAGAACTGGAATTACCAGAAAATTAAAGGTATTTTTTAAACTTTTTTTTTTTTTTTTTTTTTTTTAAACAAATGGCTTCCAGAGACCTGCTCGAGTTTCATGGGGTGGGCGGGCAGGGACACCCAGCTAATTTATGGAATGTGTACTGAGTGCCCCTTGGAATAGAGGCGGGGCCTGACCCTGCCTCTGGAAAGACACAGGGCTAGGATGGAGGGTCTGGGGCCCAGGAGGAATGGATGGAGCAGGCCCCAGGATGCGAGACTCCAGTCAAACTCCAAAACACAAGGGGCTCCCCAAAGAAGTAAAAAGCAAGGAAGGAAAAAAAAGGGAAAAAATGCTAAGGGGGTCTGCAGGGCCCAGTTTTCTGACCAACTGGGAAATAACTACACCCCCACCCTCTCTAGGGGAGCCCCTGCCACCTTGACCGTGTCCCCAGACTATTCCGGAAGGTTCTCTAGAATTGCTGACCCAGTCTAGTAGGATCTCTGGGCTCACTGGGTACTATGATGAGCAGGAAGTCCCAGGGAGATGGAGTAGGGAACAGGGGACACACCACCTTTCCCTTCCGCCAAGCCTCGGTTTTCCTTCTTGCTGGCAAAGCATAAACCTGTGTCCTCTGTCATCAATCAAATGCCCCTGCCCTGGCCCTTGAGTTAAAACTCGGGCCTGAAACGTAAGAAGGGGGCTTTCAGAAGCACAGAGAAACGGACTGCCCCTGAAGCTGCTTACAGAGGGAGATGCTAGGGGTAGGTGCCAGAAGCTCTGGCTACACCCAGCTCTCTTCAGGAAAAAGGTCCCAGCCCAGTGTCTTCAAAAGCCACTGGAGCACACAGGAAGGAGAAAGGGTGACCTCTGGCCAGCCCCAGCCACTCCAGTGGTTCTCACCCTGCGAGTTAGGCTAGGACAAGGACGGAGACACACCAGCTGAGGCTGCAACAAAGCTGGCAGGGAGTGTGTGGAGCAGGTCCCAAGCATGTGCGTGCTGACAGGGCGACCCCCAAGGTCACCATCCTCCTCCCCCCGCCCCGAGATCCCGCCTGAGGCCCCCCACCCACCCAGCCCTCCCCAGTCACCGCCAATTCCGGCAAAACAGCAGAAGCTTCTTAAACTCTAGATGCAGGTTACACGGAAGGCCTTACGGGTTAACTCAGGGGTTCACTAATTCTACTGTCTCCATGCAGTCGGGGAAATGGTGGAGCGGCTGGCCCAGCCTCGCCGGTTATGGCACTCGCACATGCGTGTGGCCACGTGTGTCCGTGT